TATGGGACTTCCTAAAGAAAACTGCAATCGCAGTTTATCAACCACTCACAAGACCACCGAGATCTTCGACTTAGCTCCCAAAGGTAATCTACCCGGCCTTTCCCAACCTATACAAGGAGAGCGGAAGATAACGAAAGGGAGACAAGGTCCTAACTAAATAGAACACAAACTCTCATTCCATCTATCATATCAGTCGAGTCGATTNAACTCAAACAAAATCCCGAGAGAAAATAAAAGATTAGTGAGGTAAGGTCTATAGACTGTAAGGCGGAAGGCTTGAAAGGAAGAGCACTCCTACTTACTTTTGGGAGAAATCCTAGACACCGGATCCTCGGTAGGACTCTTATTTGATAGGCATTAGTGGATTTGAGGGTTTGGGGTTTCACTCGCAGACCCAGCCCTGCTGCTTCCATAAGTCTCCTATCCTAAGTTTCTTTCTTTGCATGAATCAAGTTCTTCGACAGGACCATCCCGACCGAGGGCTAATCATAGATCTACTATGGTCTTTTTTTTTATTCTTTTATCTTATTTCCGGTTAAAAGCCTTTTCTGGAAGCATTATGTTGAGTCACTCCAAGAGTAGAATCAGCAGCTCACCTCACGTTTTAGGAACCAAATGAGGAATCATACATAGACGGACCTGAGCATTCTCCTGCTCTACGGACCCCTCTGGAGCTGGAGTTGGGGCTGCTTGACGCTCTTCTCCTTTCGAGTAAATTGAATTACTTCGGCTCGGATACGGTAGGAAAAAGAAAGAGATTAGATAACTATAGAGCAGATTCAGATCCAACCAGCAAGGCATACGATCTTGGACACTTAACCAAGCTCTTGATGAGCGGTATCCACCTTCACCTTATTCTGCTCTCCTTAGCCTCCGGCTTGGGCGTGGTGAAGCAAGGGGTCAGTGAGATCGACCCCGATAAGTGCAGTTAGATAGTTAGAGTTAGTAGTTTCTTCAACAATTCTAAAAAGAGGAGTTGCTCTTAGAGTTAGGGAGCGAGTGGAATAAACGAGTTCAATACGCTGGATAAGAAGCGTAGTATACGAAGCGATCACTAGAGCGATGATTCTACTTCGTATCTTATTTTTTCCTCAGTAATGTTGTAAGTTTATTCTTCATATTTTTTGTGCGTGACATCATGAAATGATGACAAACGATACAATCTATCCAAACATTGTATTCATCAAACAATACAACACGATACAATACAATACAATACGATACATTATGAAACACATGTAACAACCATCCAAACAAGTTGTAATATCAAAGGTAAAAATTTATTCGCGTGGCAAGACATGTAACCTTCATACAAATATTTAAAACTTAAATATGATTAATAATATGCATTTTATATTCAATTCTTAACCCCTAAAGTTATATTACTTGATTCGATATGAACATTTGATGCATACAAGTATTTCATGTAAAAGAAATGCTCAACCAGACCTCGGGAAACCTAATTAATATTAGTGTTTGTTGAAAATTAGAGTAAAAAATATAAATTTGTTATCATCATGCTGCATCTCTTAAATAAAACTCTAATTTTTTCCATTTAAGGTTTTCCAAAACTACATACTATTGTTTAAAAATTTAGACTTAACTATTCAATTTTGATTTTCAATTTTCAAAAATATAATGATAAAATATATGTGATTCTTTGTTTTTAATATGTGTTAAGATAAATCTTAATTTTTCTAGTAATTACGTATATTTTATTGTGTTTCAATTGTTTGTTCTTACTCAAGCATAGTGTTTAGTTTCTAGGAGGAAATGTTGTGGTTTGAACATCTTGGCATTGTTCATAGTGGTAATTTTCTTAAGAGCATAAACATATAGGTATATCACAGTTACAGATGTAGTAAATATGAGCCCGTTTGGACATAAAGAATTTTTTTCTTTTTTTTTCAAAAAAAAAAATTACTTATTTTCCGAAATCAGCGTTTGTTCATAAAATTTTCAATTTTCACTTGAATATGCATTTTGAAAATTTTCTAAAATTTGAAAAACTCCAAAAAACTGTTTTCAAAATTCACTCAAATCACCTATAAAACTTCAAAAATAACCCAAAATTATATTCATGTCCAAACACAACTCTAAAAAATTTCAAATACTATTTTCACTTGAAAATTTTTCCCCCCTATTTTGAAATTTTACGATTCTTATGTCCAAACGCCCACTTAGTTCTGAGAATTTTCTTGTATAAAATAGGTATAGCTAAACGAAACAAGAATCCTAACAACCCTTATTACAAGCAGTGCCATCTTTTCAAGTGTATTAAGTGTCATTTCAATATTTAGCAATATCTTAAATGCATCCTACACATTTATAGTTATGGTCGTTATAAAGTAGGACCTGCAGCAGCAAAATGACTCATTTGATTTGTCTAGATAATTTATGCACTAACTGTATATTTACTAAGTTTGTAAATAAATATTTCATAATGTTATTAATTGCTTACTCAAAATAAATGGTTAGTGACCCATTATAACATGTAAAAAATTCAATATACTCTCAGTGCATGTAGCTTGAGCTAGCAGTCCGGTGTACGAACCGTTTCGCGTTCATGCAGGATCCGAGGAAGAATCGCATCCTAAGGGATGTAACGTAGACAGACTATCCTGATACAAGTATCAGTGACTGATTATACTACTCGAACTTGTGACTTGTAGCTTAAAGCATTTAAATTTTGTACATCGATTGCACATAAATATTTTACACCATCAAATTAAGATCGCCTGTGATAATAGATAACTATTTATAAAACAAAAATATATAAAAAAAACTGATCTTATAACTTGAAAAATAATAAATAATCTGTTATAAGCAGTTAAAACTAAATTGATGGTGTAATAATTTATATACATTATTTGCACCAATATATAAGTTAATTAATTCAATCTTTAAATGCACCTTAAACTTTTTATAGGTCTAATCATTATAGTTCTAGTCATTATTATTACTGTACTACTACTAGTATTTAGGAATTATAATAGCATAATGACGAAGGATTGCGTATAGATGTTCATAACACGCAGTAGAAGACAATAACAATTCTAAGCAGATCTTTTCGTTTTTAAAATTTATTTACATGTCAATAGATCGGATCTAAGACGTACCTGGTGAAGAAAGTCTCGTTTCAAATTCTTCGATGGTGCGAAGACTCTATGCGTATCCACACCGAGACCGATCCTTGCTATCAACTCTTTGATCAATGAAACCTGCGAACAAAATTGAACGGGAAATATTGTATTGAAAGTTTTCTCAAAAATCTCAACTCAATGTTAGAAGAACAAGAAACATTTTTCTTGTAGTTGTATTTTCTCTCTTGGCTTGTGTTGCACTCTCACTTTCAAAAAGTGATTTTTCTTCTCAAGAATTAACAACGCGGCAAATTTTTTCCATCACCCTTTATATAGCATCACCTATAAACCATTTTTCTATTTGGGTGAGATAATGATTTTTTTAAGGTAAAAGTTTATTCCAAAAATAAACTTCAATCAAATTTTATGGAAAATTGGAATCACGTCTTAACGAAAACGTGACTGCCGAACCATTGTCAAAGTTGGATTCTCGTGAATCCAAATTAATGTTGGATTCAATTTATACGTCCTTTTGTGAACTTTACCTTTCCAATTCTAAATTGGTAAATTAACTAATAAACCTTTTATATTAATATTATATATATATATACTCTTATATAAATAAATATTAATTAAATATATCAAAGATATATATTTTAACCAAGAGATATAATTTAATTTTCTATTTCAAATAGAAAACTTCAATTTGTTTACAATATTAATTATATCTTCTGTGCTAGCAAAGAATATAATAATATTTCATTTGGACTAATAACTAAATGTATTTGACTAATTAAATTCCTTAATTTAATTACCAAATAATAAAATAATTATTCCTCTAGCAAAGATCAGAACACTCGTTAGTGTGCGACCCCATAGGTTTAATACTAAACCGGTAGTAAATTGACCACATCAATACTAATCAAGGGTGGCATCTAGCAACACTCCTTAATGACCGGATAGCATGAAGTATACAATTTACTCTCAAGAACCAGTAGAAGAATAATGTAGTAATTCCTTCTATCCTTATAGCTCTGGATCACCCTAGGATATGGTTCAACTGTCAAATCCTAATAGGCGACCAACTATGTGTTCATGTCAAATATAATCGACCATTGAATGACCTAAGAAACTCATTTCTTCTTTCATTCAATTGCTCTGGCCAAGGTCTTAATTTGGTTGTTTATAATTCATGACAACATGGAGTTTAAACTCATTACCAAGAGTTGACAGATTCCATCTTGATCAATCACTAATTCTACAAGTATTCAATCGTACCCAATATCCTTTTAACTATCACTCTAGGGCCATAAGTGTCTAGTATTAAAGCACAACAAATAACTTGTCAATTACTATAACGATCTCACGTCAAAGGAAATTCTTACATCACATTCTTCAAGAGAATATCTTATTGACAATTTATGGTAATTCTAACCATTAGGAATTATCCAATGAGTCGGTTCAATGATTATATCTCTATATGTATCATCTATCTATGTGATTTAGTTAATGAGATCAACTAATCTTTATCCCATAAAGACGATCACATAAATATTGATCTAACTAGATTACTAATGTCCAAATTAATAATCCTATGATCAAGAACAAATTTAGATTAAGTAGTAAGAGACTTTGCTCTTATTATCATGATCTCTATTACGATGACAAGTCTCAAAATTTAATCAAGGACCTTAACAAATTAATCAAACAATTAATAATAACTATGATAAAAGAATGTCATATATTTTTATATCGAATAACGTTCATAAAAATATGTTCAAATCATCAAATATGAGATTGGATTTAGGGCATATCTAGTGTATCCCTAACAAATGACTCATTTTGATTGGTCAAAGACTATAGGCATTTCATGGTAATGCATGTAGACAATCCCAACCCTTTGCTGCCATTTTCAAAGCCTCCAACCTCTCTCCTACACAGGTCTTTCTCCAAACCTCTCTCTGTCATAACTCATGCCATTTCAGCCCCAAGCTCTTCTCCTCTCTTTTTCCTTTCTTCTCCTATACAAATATCTATACATAGTAATATACACACATCTCATATTTCTTTTTCCAAATTATATGCGACCCATTTACATATTTAAAGATTACTATAGAATATTCATATTTAACATATTAATACCCTTTTGAGCTTTAGTTTAGAACCTGAAATCTTGTTATTTCAGTCTCTGCAGCTCCCAGTAAAGGTGGGGTTTTTTTAAATATCATTTCTTGTTCATAATTAGCTTCTTTCTTATGTTTTTGTCCTTTTTTTTTGTTGCTACATTTAGGGCTTTGAGTTTTTAAATCTTGATTATTTTTTGTGTTTTCAAATAAATTTGTAATCTTTTTGATTAGGGGTTTTGTTGGTTTAATTTATTAGTATGTTTTGAATGGATTTTAGTGATAGAAATGAAAAGTTGGGTTTCAGGTGAAACTTAACAAACTTTCAACTTTTAGTTGCATTGGGTAAAATCTATGTGTTACCCATTTGCTATTATGGAAATATTAAGTGATAGCTGAAAGGAATTTAATGATGTAATAATTTGTCAACATAGAATCATCTTGCACTTATTAAAGACACCTGGTATATTCTGCTGTTTATGGGATTCTGGAGAAATGGCTGTATATTCATGAAATATTTTTCATTTGTTAAAGACAACTGGTATATTCTTTTGAGTATTGATTTCTGGTGGAAATAGTTTTGTTTTCATCGTTTCATTAGAACTTTTACCAGATTTAGAATGTTCTGTTTTTTGGCCTCTTGTCTTAAATCTTAGTTTGTTATGTTAAAAGAGACAGTTTTTCATGAAAATTTAAGGATTCTGTAGTTTCTTATTTTTAGATTTCTGTTATTGCTTATTGTTTCTTGCGCTTCAAATTTTTATTTGGTTGGCTGGTGTTGTTGCTTGTTGTTACTCCTTCCTCTCTATCTTTCGTAAGCTGAGGATCTTCCGGAAACAACCTCTTACTTTCTTCATGTAGGGTTAAGGTCTGCGTACAATCTACCCTCCCCAGACCCCACTAGTCGAATTACACTGGGTTTTTTTGTTATTGTTGTTGTTGTTGATGTCTCACTTGATTCTTACAAGCAATGCATACCTAAGTGTGTCGAAGGCGGTTCAATTGAATCCCCTTAGTCAAAAAATTACACTGTACGAATAGAGTAAAATTTTGTTTTTTTAAAAAAAAATTGTTGAATTCCCTTGATAGTTATTGGAACATTTCAATGTGATGAAGTTGTGTTCCAATATGATAAGGAAGCAGAGGCTAGCCAAACTCTTCGGAATATTAGTTAGAGTCTGTCACCTGTACTTTATCTCTTAGTCGTCATTTCTTGTTGTATTAAGGACTCTATATAAAGCTAAGAAAATTATATAAGTGAAAGCAAATTAATATACGCGATCAGTTCCTGTGATTTTATAATAGTAGTTAAGTGTATCCACTCACTGTGCAAGTTTGCACTTTTTTCGAATCCTTTTGTTAGAATTCCTGAGTCTGCTAATGTTTGCAAAAATACAAAAACTTGATTCAGAAAAAATTTGCTTGCTTTGTCGTCACTGCAGGGAAGCATTTGGATGGAATGACTTGCTGGAATTGCATGTCCAAAGTTTGACAAATTTCAGCATAGAATGTGGCATAGAAGGTTTAAGATGGATATTTTTAGGTTGCTTCTTGCTAAATCTTGTCCTGATTTTCACATTGGCTTCACCAAACTTGATTTTTGGTTATTGTGGTAAGATGCACAATCTCCATTTAATTTTCCTAGAAAAAGAATACCACAAAATATTGGTTGCATATAGAAGAGGTAAAGTCTACGTAAACTCTACCCTCCTCAAACCCTACTAGTAAAATTACACTGGTTGTTGTTGTTACGTAGAAAATTTCATATTGTTCTGAATGAGTAATATGTCAAAAGAATTCTGGTTCAAGTCCTAATAATATAAAAGTAGTGGAGTTCAGAAATCTTATTTACTTCAATTTCCTTCTGAAATTAGAATTTGCATGAATATAATCTAGTTGAGATACTGTTTGTTTCCCCTGGCTAGTTAATGCCTAACGTTAATTAAGAAGCAATTACAAATATGCTAGTCATAGTGTATGTGATATTAGTCATTGATTATGATTTGATATATTTTAGTTACTTAATTCATATCTAATTAGGTTTTATAGTCAAAATAATATAATCTATGTTAGAAGATTAACCTCAAAGTTGGATTAGGAAACCTAAATTATTTAGTAATTTGATATATGTTACAGTTATCCAATTCATATCTACTTAGGTTTTGTAGTCAAAATAATATAAGAATAGGTTTTTAAGTAGTCAAACTAGTTTTGCACTATTATAAATAGGAGTGTTACTACGTATTTTCTTGTATGAAAAATTGTGGAGAATATTACTTTAGCATTGCTAGACCTCTCTTTAGATACTGAATTGCTCTTAGACGGAGTAACAAAATAATATAAACAGAGTCCCTTTTTGTTCTTTCCTAACTCATCTGAAAATTATGCAGACTATAGAAGTTTTGAACAATGAGGAGATAATGTTTGGCAAACTTCTGCCGTGTTATCGCATGGCCCCAAGACAGTCCCGCCTCAGCTCCAGACGATCTCGTAAAAAAATCCTTTTTATCGCGCTTTTGATACTTCTGCCGATTTTGTTCTTTGGTGTTTACCTCCACGGCCACAAAATCTCCTATTTTTTCCGTCCGCTGTGGGACAAACCTCCACCTCCGTTTGATCATTTGCCACATTATTATGCTGAAAATGTTTCGATGGATAATCTTTGTCGCCTACATGGATGGACCCTGCGTTCTGAACCACGTCGTGTATTTGATGGGATCATATTCAGCAACGAGTTAGACTTGCTCGAAGTAAGGTGGCGCGAGCTCTATCCATATGTTACAAAATTTGTGATCTTGGAAGCCAATACTACTTTTACTGGAATCCCAAAACCATTGTACTTCTCTGATCATCGCGAACGATTTGCCTTTGCTGAGGAAAAGATAGTACACGGTGTATTTCCTGGCCGTGTTGCGTCCCCTGGTTCACACGAAGATCCTTTTAAACTAGAAGCACAGCAGCGTATCGCCATGAACAGGTTACTTAAAGTTGCTGGTATTGCTGATGGCGACCTTCTCATTATGTCGGACACGGATGAAATCCCGAGCCAACACACTATTAAATTGCTGCAGTGGTGCGATGGGGTTCCTCCCGTCCTGCACCTTGAGCTCAGACATTACATGTATTCCTTTGAGTTCCCTGTTGATTATAGTAGTTGGCGCGCTACTATTCACATTTACAACAGGTGGACTCAGTACAGACATTCGCGCCAAACGGATGTTATACTTTCTGATGCAGGGTGGCATTGTAGCTTCTGCTTTCGGCATCTGCAAGATTTTGTGTTAAAAATGACTGGTTATAGTCACGCGGATAGAGTGCGACGTAAAAACTTCCTAAAACATTCTAGAATTCAGAAGCTTATTTGTGAGGGAGCTGATCTTTATGATATGTTACCTGAGGAGTATTCTTTCCAAGAATTGATCAAGAAAATGGGATCAATACCTCGCTCAGCATCCGCGGTTCACCTTCCTACATATGTCATTGAAAATGCAGATGAGTTTCGATTCCTTCTCCCCGGAGGTTGTCAACGATCACCACGATGATTCTCTTCATTTGTCAATTTTTTTTGCTTAGAATTTTCAATTGTATAAGGGATAGTTATTGATGTTTTTTTCCATAAAATTTGCAGAAGATGGTTTAGCTGTTGTTAGTAGAGTTTTGTCCGTTGAGAAAATAGGTTCTCTTACCTTTTGCTAAGTATGTATACATATTTTAAATCAATAATTGTCAAATGAAAGCATTGTTGTTAACTGCTCTAGCTTTGTGCTGGAGGGGAGTCCTGGAGCAACGGTAAAGTTATTTTCGTATGACATATAGGTGACGGATCCGAGCCATGGAAGCAACCATTAACACTTGCATTAGGGTAAGCTGTGTACATCGGCCCTTTTTCGGACCTGCATAAACGCGGGATGCCTTGTATATCGAGCTGTCCTTTTTTTGCTCTAGTTTTGTGTTATTGATTAGACTTTTGTTTTTACTGCAGCAACTTGGAACTGCACCCAAAAAAAAGGCAGCCCGGTGCACTAAGTTTTTGCTATGCGCGTTGTTCGGGGAAGAGCCGAACCACAAGGGCCTATTGTATGCAGTTTTACTCTGCATTTCTGTAAGGGGCTGTTTCCGCGACTCAACCCACACTCTCACTTTTTTAGGACAAAAAATTACTCTCAAGATGCAAAGTGTGTTTCGGATCTAGAAAAAGGGTTGGAACAAATGGAGAAAAAGGAGAAAGGGTAAGAAAAAAAAGTGTAGGTAAGATTCTCCGGAAAGAGAGCAGAATCATTTTACTTTCCCTTTATGCATTTCTCCTTGCCCCTCTTTGAACTCTTTTGGCATGATTAAAGTGAACAGAAATTGAGGTTTTCCTTTAATTGATGATCCTTTTTTAGTTTTTTTTTTATCATTCCTTGAGTCGAGCGTCTATTAAAAATAACTATCCTTATAAGATAGGGTTAATACATACTGCTCCCGAAACCCCACTAATGAAATTTTACTGGATGATTGTTTTTGATGATCCTTTTTAGTATGTCAACTATGGACTAGTGGAAGGTGATTGGTGGTAGGGTGCCAAGCTACAACCGGAAAAAGGTGATTAGTTGAACTCCTTTTGTCGAAAAATTTATACACTTCATGAATCGTTACTGATAATAATTTTTATTTATATATTCTATTAAATTTCGAACACTTAATAAAAAAAATTGGCTTCACCACTTGTGGTATCATAAGTCACTTGTCAAGTGCAAGTTGTAAAGTTGGTCCTCCTTCAACCAAAAATTGGATGATTTTCTTGATTAAAAGAAAAGAAATAGAACAGAAAAGAAGAAGAAATTAACCTTCTTCATTTGAAATTTCCTCATAGTACCTACTACCTATAATGGACAATAAGTCAACCCTTGTTGATTAAGCAAATAATATAGTTAGTGGAATTTCTAGCAGCCAGTCACAATTAAGCACATCATTTTACTATATTTAGTGGTAACTGTCATTTCACCAGCAGGAAAAAAGATTCACTTTAAACATGTAACTATGTAAGATGAGAATGAGACGAGTTACATATAAGGTTGTTGAGAAGCACTAACTTTTGTGCTTAATATTGTACTAATGTTGTATTAACCACCAAACTAAAGGACAGAGGAAGATAAAACGAAAAGGAAATAAGAAGGTCACATTCATATGACTCGATTAGGGGTGGCAAACGGGTGAGTCGGATATGGGCGGATCGAAAACGGGTAAATTATCTGACTCACATATTTAATACGGATAAAAAAACAGGTTATCCGGCGGATAATCATGGCTTCTTGAATATGATCACTTTTGGAAGAATTTTTAGTCTTCCAAACTTGAGGAATCCCCAATTTGAGTTTTACAAATGTAAAAGTTAACACATTAGTTATCCATCTGGTTATCCATTTTCTCAGTGGATAATATGGTTCTTCTCAATATTCGACCCGTTGCTAAAAAGTTCATTATCGAACTCATTTTTTAATGGATAATACGGGTGAATAACTATTTTCTTTTAGCCATTTTGTCACCTCTAGACTCGATATACATAGCCAAGCTCGATTAGAGGCCACAAAAAGAAAAGAAAAAAAGAATGTTTGAATCAAAAATAAGGAGGTTAAATTATGAATAACATAACTACATAACATTCTGTCACATTCATATGACTTCTTAATTTCAACATCGCATTCAAGGGTCCTTTAAGAAAGTTTGTTTGCTGACTTATACCCTCTTTGGCCAAATTTTTAAAATCAACTTATTTTAAAAAAATATTTTTTTTTTAAAAATATTTTTCTCAAAAATACTTTTGGTGAGAAAATATTTATGTTTGAATAATTAATTTGAAAAACAATTTTGAGTAGCAATTAGTGTTTGACTAAACTTTTAAAAAGTGTTTTTACGTGTATTTTTCCTCAAAAGTGCTTTCAGAAAAGTATTTTTGGGGAAAAACTATTTTTTTCTGTTTCTCCAAAAATGTTTCTGCTTCTACTCAAAATCACTTTTTTTTTCTTCAAAAAGCTTGCCAAACACTTCAACTTTGAAAAAAAAAAATACTTTTTTAAAAGAAAAAAAAACAATTGAAAAAAAATACTTTTGGCCTTGAAGAAGCTTGACCAAACAGGCTATTAGCCTATGAGCATTGTATCGAACATTTTAATTTGATCTCAATCTTAACAAAGAAACGAAAGATTTTTTTTTTTTTTTTATAGCAAATATCCAAAGATAGATGAAATTAGCTGCTAACAAACTTGATATTTTTTTTTAAAAATTTTTGAGCATAAAAATATTTATTTATAATAAGCTAGAGTACGGGTGGTAGCGAACTATCGTCATTACAAGTGCTCTGATGGGCTATGGATATGCCTCTTAGGGCATTGTCATTCGAGATTTTTTCTTTCCTATACCATATATGAAACCTTATTACCAAAAATGTGTATAGTTTCTAATTTACCTGCACTGTCCACATTTTTTCTACAGTTATTATACCAATCATTAAATACTAATTAATAGTAGCTGAATCTTCCTAATTTGTCGAGCTAAAATTCAGGAACAGAATCTTCTAAAAAGATTTGGCGTAAATCAGATCAAATCATATCACGGAAATCCTTTATCTTCAATTTATAATCAAATTCTGTTCTTCGATATTCTCACAATCGCTACAAATCAAAATCTCAGTTCGTCATTAAATCAAAATCGCTACAAATCCACCATTGACAGCCATTAAAAAGCTTGAAAGCTTTGAATTCAAATTTGGGTTTTCAAAAATCATTATTTGTTTGGATTGGGTGTTGTTGAAAATAATTGGGAATATGATTTGGAGTTTATATCTCAATTTTGAGGGGTTTTGGTGAAGATTAGACTTGGTTTTGACTGAATTTCAGATTGAAACTCGAAGAAGAAGAAGACATATTGCAGAAATTGTAGATAAATTGTAGATATTTTGTAGATAAATTGTAGATTATTTGTATTCTGATTGTAGATGATTTATTTTCTGTTTTCACAAATAAAAAATGACTAAAACTTCTATAAATCTTCTGAAAAAACGCAATTATGTCAAAAATCTCAATTATACTACAATTGAATGAGAATTGGGATATTAAAATTCAATATACCCAATTTGTAGATAATTTGTAGATTTTCAACATAGATTGTAGTTTAATTGTAGTATAAATGTAGTAATTATGTAGATACCCTTACAAATAATACTGCTTTATACATACTTAAACTGATTTGTAGTATATTTGTAGAATTTTTGTAGAAAATTTGTAGATGAAGATAAAAATTTTGTAGTCAACATTTTTTCAACATAGATTGTAGTTTAATTGTAGTATAAATGTAGTAATTTTGTTGATAATTATGAAAACAATATTGCTTTATACATCCTAAAACTGATGTGTAGTTTATTTGTAGATAAATGTAGGAATTTTATAGATATTACCGTAAAATCAGATTTTCATAGAATTTGAAATATATGTGGCATAGGAATATAAAAATCTCTTTTATTTATTTCAAATTCTGATCAATCCAACTGTAAGTACTTCATATTTTTGCTGTATCAAATGTGTGTATAAAGTGTGCGAAATCAAGAAACTCAGATTAGAAATAGAAAACGTAAAACAGAAGTAAAAATAAGAAATGGAGAATGGAGAAGTAGAGAACTGAGGAGTTTCCTCATCGAAAACCGTCAACGGTGGCGAAGATGTATTTAGTTCAAATTCTGATCAATCCAACTGTAACTACAATTTATCTTCAATTTCTGCAATATGTCTTCTTCTTCTTCTTCTTCTTCTTCTTCTTCTTCTTCTTCTTCTTCTTCTTCTT